TCTTTCCCAGATTTTGGCTGTGGTGTGAAGGGGAGGAGGAGATATGGATCATGGGAAGTTTTCTTTCTGTTGTTTTTGTCTTTTTTTTTTTTAAGATATGAAAGATTTGTTTAAATGTCATTGGGAAGGAGCCAATTAAGGGAGTACATTCATAATTCTTAGTTGTATGTTAATGTGCAAAAAACATTTAACATTTATACATCCATCTGATGGTAAATTGCCTTTTCCTCCATATGATGATGATGACGATGTTCTAATTTTGATGTGTTCAAAATAACTATTCTCACTATTAGGAAGAACCTCAGTGCAAAATTTGAAAAATACAAATTTAAAAAATCCCTAAATTGTCATAGCAGATAGAGTAAGGCAGCGGGAAGGCCGAGGAGGGAGGGGGTAAGAGATCAACCGAAGGACTTGTATGCATGCATATAAGCATAACCAATGGACATAAGACACTGGGGGGTGGGGAAGCCATGGGATTGTCAAGGGTGGGGGGAAAAAAGGGCACATATGTAATACCCTTTGTAATACTTTAAGTAATAAAAAAATTAATATATAGAATAAAATATTTAATTTTAGCAAATTCTGGTATTTTGATTGGACATTTTGTTTATGAGTGCTGTATATTATAAAAGTTCTGAGGAATAACAGGACTCAGGAGCCTGACAGTTTACTCTTCATTGAAAAGCTTTATGATGATTCTTTGAGAGGAGGTCATCTCTCTAGAAGCAGCATCTAAAAATTGGATTTTGGTTATTGAAAGGTATTTATTTATTAAATTGGTGGAATATTCATTGAGAACTGAGTTTGAAACTTTGCTTATTCATTAGTCCTGTGAACCTGGGCTAATAAGTTAGCTTTTTTGAGCCTGAGTTTCCTGAGGTGATAATACCTATGCCACAGGATTATTGTAATGGTTAAGTGAATTAATGAGTGAAATTACTGACACAGTACCTGGCACGTAACAGATGACCTGCTAAAATTCAGAGGCATTGGTGTTACCATGTTTAAAGGAGAAGGAGCTGAATGCTTGCTCTTCTCTATCTTCCCTATTCATTGGTTTATGGACCTTTTTGCTAGTCTCTGACATTTGGACACCAGAGAAGCAAGTGGTGGGATGAATTTAGAGCTCTGTCCTGTACTTGTAAATCTCAGGGAAGATTCTGTAAGCAGTGCTGGGGAAAACAGTAAGACCATTCTTTATGGGAAAG